GCAGCTTTGGTAGGAGGCTTGCCAGACTGGTTAAGGAGGCTTTCAACTAGATGTGTTGGGGGAGGGGGGCATCATTCCATCCCAACACTCCCAGTCAGTTGCCAGCACCTATAATAAATGCTTGGACCAATGCAGAGATATTCCGACTGCTCCAGCCAATGAGCCGGCTTCATTTGGAGCTCAGCTCAGATGCCTCTAAACAAATGCTCATAGCATGGGGAACAAACAAGAGGAATTAGAGATGTGTGCTTGTCTACGGGGGTATGACATTATAGGCATCACAGAAACATGGTGGGATGGCTCCTATGACTGGAGTGTTGGAATGGAAGGTTATAGACTCTTTAGAAAAGACAGGCCTGGCAGGCACGGACAGGGAGTTGCCCTTTATGTTAGGGATAGGCTGGAGTGTATGGAACTCTGGGGACAGGTGAGCAGATAACAGAGAGCTTGTGGGTCAGGGTTAAAGGGAAAACAGCGATGGGAGACATTACTTTGGGGATCTGTTATAGACCGCCTGATGAAGAAGAATCTGCAGATGAAGCACTCCAAAGGCAGACAGGAAAAGCCTCATGCTCACAGGCCCTCGTTCTCATGGATGACTTCAACCACCCTGACATCTGTTGGAATGACAGCACGGACCGGCACAAGCAATCCAGGAGGTTCCTCGACTGTGTGGAAGACAACATCCTTCTGCAAGTAATAGAGGAAACGATAAGGAGAGGTGCCATGCTTGACCTTGTGCTCACCAACAGGGAAGGGCTTGTTGGAAATGTGGTGCTCCAGAGCAGCATTGGATGCAGCGACCACGAGATGGTTGAATTTCAGATCCTTAGGACAGTGAGAAGAGCGTGCAGCAAGCTCACTGCCCTAGACTTCAAAAAAGCAGACTTTGGCCTCTTCAGGAACTGGCATAGTAAGGTTCCATGGGATATAGCCCTAGAGGGCAGGGGGGCTCAAGACTCTTGGTTGGTCTTCAAGGATCACCTGCTACAAGCTCAGGAGTGTTGCATCCAAACTACAAGGAAGTGCAACAGGAGGGCCAGGAGACCTCCTTGGATGGATAAGGAGATCCTGAGGAAAATTCAAATGAAAAAAGAGCCTTATAAAAAGTGGAAGGAAGGACAGGCGGCCTGGGAAGAGTACAGAGTTACTGTCTGGGAAACTAGAGACCAGGTTAGGAAAGCTAAGGCCCAGTTAGAACTAAACTTGGCTAGGGATATTAAGGATAACAGGAAGGGATTCTACACATACATAGCAAATAAAAAACAGATTAGGGAGAATGTAGGCCCCCTCAGGAAGCTCTCAGGTGAACTAGTTACACAGGATTTGGAGAAGGCTGGGGTTCTGAATGACTTCTTTGCCTCGGTCTTCTCTAGGAAAGGCCCTGACCGCACCACCCAAGTCTTGGAAGGCAGACGCAGGGACTGTGAGAATGAAGACCTTGGGCCCACTGTAGGAGAGGAATTGGTTCGAGACCATCTTAAAAATCTGAACGTGCACAAGTCCATTGGTCCTGATGAAATCCATCCATGGGTCCTGAAGGAGCTGGCAAATGAAGCTGCTAAGCCGCTGGCCATCATATTTGAAAAATCATGGCAGTCAGGTGAAGTTCCCGATGACTGGAAAAAGGGAAATATAACCTCCATTTTCAAGAAGGGAAAATGGATTTCCCGGGCAATTACAGACAAGTCAGTCTCACCTCTGTGCCTGGCAAAATCTTCGAGCAGATTCTTCTGGAAGACATGCTAACGCACATGAAAAAAAACAAGGTGCTTGGTGACAGCCAGCATGGCTTCACCAAGGGGAAACCCTGCCTGACCAACTTGGTGGCCTTCTGTGATGGGCTACAGAACTGACAGACATGGGTAGAGCAGTTGATGTCATCTACCTGGACTTGCGTAAAGCGTTCAACACTGTCCCACATGACATTCTTGTCTCTAAATTGGAGAGACATCAATTTGATGAATAGACCACTCGGTGGATAAAGAACTGGCTGGAGGGCCGCACACAAAGAGTTGTGGTCAATGGCTCAATGTCCGGCTGGAGACCAGTTACGAGTGGTGTCCCTCAGGGATCAGTGTTGGGACCGGTCTTGTTTAACATCTTCGTCGCTGACATAGACAGTAAGATTGAGTGCGCCCTCAGCAAGTTTGCCAATGACACCAAGCTGTGTGGTACGGTTGATATCCTGGAGGGAAGGAATGCCATGCAGAGGGACCTTGACACACATGTGAGGTGGGCTGATGCCAACCTCATGAAGTTTAACCATGCCAAGTGCAAGGTCCTACACCTGGGTCAGAGCAATCCCAGGCACAGCTACAGGCTGGGCAGAGAAGAGATTCAGAGCAGCCCTGCGGAGAAGGACTTGGGGGTGCTGGTCGATGAGAAAATGAACATGAGCCAGCAGTGTGCGCTTGCAGCCCAGAAAGCCAACTGTATCCTGGGCTGCATCAAAAGGAGTGTGACCAGCAGGTCGAAGGAGGTGATCCTGCCCCTTTATTCTGCTCTCGTGAGACCTCACTTGGAGTATTGTGTGCAGTTCTGGTGTCCTCAACATAAAAAGGACATGGATCTGTTGGAACAAGTCCAGAGGAGGGCCACGAGAATGATCAGGGGACTGGAGCACCTCCCATATGAAGAGAGGCTGAGAAGTTGGGGCTGTTCAGCCTGGAGAAGAGAAGGCTGCGTGGAGACCTCATAGCAGCCTTCCAGTATCTGAAGGGGGCCTATAGGGATGCTGGGGATGGACTCTTCATTAGGGACTGTAGTGATAGGACAAGGGGTAATGGGTTAAAACTTAAACAGGGGAAGTTTAGATTGGATATAAGGAGGAAATTCTTTCCTGTTAGGGTGGTGAGGCACTGGAATAGGTTGCCCAGGGAGGTTGTGAATGCTCCATCCCTGGCAGTGTTCAAGGCCAGGTTGGACAAGGCCTTGGGTGATATGGTTTAGAGCGAGGTGTCCCTGCCCATGGCAGGGGGGTTGGAACTTGATGATCTTAAGGTCCTTTCCAACCCTAACTATTCTATGATTCTATGATGATTCTATGATTCTATGATGATTCTGATTCTATGATTCTGTGAGCAATAAAGGTCTTGAGATTTCACCAGAACTGGAGCCTGTCTTTGGTACGCCACAGGGAGGCCTGTAAGACTGATTATATCACCCTCCCCCCAAACTGCTAAGGCAAGCACCATGTTGTTAGCATTGTGGACGCAACCATAGGATGGCTGGAAACATATGCTGTGCCCCATGCCACTGCCCAGAACACTATCCTGGTGTCCTGGGTTTAGTAGTAGCAGTCATTTTTCTCTTTATTGGCAGCTGGTGCAGTGCTGTGTTTTGACTTTCGGGCTGGGAACAGAGCTGAAAACAATGATGTTTTGGTTTGGCCAAGGACTTTGTGAGCCTCATGCTCTGCCAGGGAGGAGGGAAGCTGGGAGGAAGCAGAGACAGGACACCTGACCCAAACTGACCAAAGAGGTATTCCGTACCACAGCACGTCATGCCCTGGATGTAACTGGGAATTACCCAGAAGGGCTAGGGGACTGCAGGGTTGGAGGAGGTATCGGTCGGTGCTTGGTCGGGCTGGGGAGGTGAGTTATCGGTCGGCTGGTGCTGAGGTGTTGTATTCTCTTCCCTTGTTATTTCCTTTATCATTAGTATTATTGGTGGTAGCAGTAGTGATTTGTGTTATACCTTAGTTACTAAACTGTTCTTATCTCAACCCGTGGGAGTTGCATTCTTTTTGATTCTCTTCTCCATCCCAGAAGGCCTAGATCGCTGCTTGGGTCGGGCTCGGTACTGGTTGGTTGGTGGTGATCGGTTGTATTCTCTTCCCTTGCTATTTCCCTTATCATTATTATTATTGGTGGTAGCATTAGTGGTTTTTTGTTATACCTCAGTTACTGGACTCGTCCTATCATAACCCGTGGGAGTTACATTCTTTTGACTCTCCTCCCTATCACTCTGGGAGTGGGGGAAGGAAGGGGTACGGGAGAGCGAGCAAGCAGCTGTGTCGTTCTGAGTTACCACCTTGGCTTAAACCACAACAGTAATCAAATATTAAACATCAGGAAACACACATTTAAATTATTTCAAGCAACCTACGCAACCATCAGTTAAAAAATATAAAGGCATCTCTTCATCGCTTTCCATTCAGAATTATTTACCACTTCTGCAAACATAGACTGTAGGAAAAACGACCTTAAATTCTGCCTATTATTATGGCACAGCTGCCCTGCACTAACATCCAAAGATGCTTGCCTCTACATTTTAGTAAGATAGTTCAGCTTTAACCCCAAATGCCCTGAAGCTGAACAGCCTCCCTAAGCAATTTTAAAACAGTGCAGCCTACCAAGTAATCTAAAAAACAATACCCCTTCATCCTTGAATATACATGACTTCTGATTTGAAATAAGCACACTCCACTGAAGATTCTGGGGTAGAGAAGTACACGACTTTGTCTATCCAAATAAAAAAAGGAAATGTAGTCATGACAGACAAAACTAAGTGTAGACCTATTACGCTTAAAGGTGAAGAAAAGGAATCAAACCTTTTTTGGGTTTTTTTTTTAAATAAAGTGCATTTGAAAAGTTAATTCTTGAAAATCCTTGTATTGAATGTGGTTGGCTTTTTCTTTTCTATTAGAATCTAGCTATCCCGTGCATCCATTCAGCATGTTGGGATCACAGTGCTTCTGATTCAGAGGAACAAGAGGCACTTACTGAACCAGTGGTACAGAGTCTAAATTAAGTTCCAATGATCTTATAGTCTGAACAAGGTCTTGAGAGACTCTATAAAGTAGATTATTTTTTTTCAGAAATATGAAAAAAATATTAGGCCTCAGAAAAGAAACTGCATTTGAATAAGTATTTAATGTTTTCACAAAAAAAAAAAAAGGTGAAGAAAGCACATTTGCAAACACACAGGAACTAACAATATGTAAGATGGAGGAAAACACAATGCATAAGAGTAAAGTGAAATTAAGCCAGACATACCTGAGTTGTTGATAGGTGAAAAACAGGGCCAGTTGTGGGCACAGCAAGTCTCTGAGACATGCTGACAGGACCCTGTCCCTGCATGTGTACTTGAGCCTGCATTTGAGCCTGTGCTAGAGCCTGCTGAGGCATCATTACAAGCTGTCCAACATCCATGCGCACCAAGACCATATCTAAGGAGAACAAAGTAACAATAACTACACAATAAAGAATAATATATAATGAACTATAACTACAGAATATAAAGATTATATATAGCACTGTACATTTTTATTTATACTGTATCTTCTTTTTTTATTCTGGCATGGCATGAGATGTTATTTCAAGGAAGAAAAGTAGCCCCCACCAGCAGACAAAATAATAATTCAGTTTGGAATTCAAATAACTGTAGTTTACGGATAAAAGTGACTAAAAAAAGGTCACTTGAGTGTACAGGCATACTTTCAGCAGTCTAGTCAGGGTCAGCAGAATAAAATTAAAAAGAAATATTCATTAAAAGTAAACTACAGCAACAATCCAGAAGCCAAGAATAAAATTCAGCATGATCATACCAGGGACAGTGACACAACAGCTTTACTAAAACAACAGCTTCAGAGGATGTGTACACAGAAACATCAGGCCAGCCACATTTCTGAGCATACAGTATTTCAGATCTAGTTAATCGTTGAGCATTAACAGATGAATTTATTTAGCACCCATCATCAACATACTGGGAGGCACTACCTGTGGTTTAGACATCAAGAAAAAAATATCATCAAACTCAGAGAACCAACACTGCCACTCCTCAGCTGTCGTGGTTTAAACCCTGACAGACAGTTTGTGCACTTACTCCCAGTGAGTGGTGCCAGGCTGGAAGCAATCGAGACCCACGTTAGTCGCGCCCCCCTTCCCCAGGGGATACCCCCCCTTCCCCACTCCCAGAGGGATGGGGAGGAGAATCGAAAGAATGCAACTCCCACGGGCTGAGATAAGAACAGTCTAGCAACTAATGTACAATACGAATCACCACCGCTACCACCAACGACAACAATGATAAGAGAAAATAGCAAGGGAAAGGAGTACAATACCACGTGCGGAACAACGAGTCCGACCTGCCCGACCCCCTGTCCTTCCGGTTCCCCCCTGGGCATGACATGCTGTGGTATGGAATACCTCTTTGGTCAGTTTGGGTCAGGTGTCCTGTCTCTGCTTCCTCCCGGCTTCCCCTCCTCCCTGGCAGAGCATGAGACTCACAAAGTCCTTGGCCAAACCAAAACATCATTTTTATCAGCTTTGTTCCCAGCCCGAAAGTCAAAACACAGCACTGCACCAGCTACCAAGGAGAAAAAATGACTGCTGCTGCTAAACCCAGGACATTATCCACCCCTTATTCCATACCATTCACGTCATGCTCAGATCCTACATTTTCAATATACCATCACTCTGATCTCAGTGCACTTCTATCTTAGTGCATGGACTAGTCCCTATAAAGCTGCTGAGTCCATCTGGCCCATGATGTCAGGCTCCATCTCTTGTAACAGTCTTTCAGAACAGGAGAGGCTGCGTGCAGTATTGGGTCGTTGCCTGCTGATGCTGATCATTCCCTTACTGTAGAACTTGTCTGGTTCTGTCAAAGTTCATTCTCTGTTGGGATGATGGTTGAAGGGAAGTCAGGGCTAGTCGCTGGTGGCCTGAAGACATCTGGTTGATGGGCTATTAAAGTATTACACAGCAGGCAACAACATACAATTAAGTTCATTGGCTGTTTTCCCCTAAAATTAAATCCCCTTGAGGTACACATCGGACTTCCCCATCATCCCGCATTACCCACCAAGTGTATCCAGGTCCCTGAGCAAAAGCAATCCCACGAGTGGGTTTGCCTTTACTTGAAGCAGGAATAACCCAGACTGTCTTCCCCAGCAAATTCTTCATATGCACCACAGGAACTTTGTCCCCCTCTACAATATGTAAAAGTTCCGATTGGGCTGGGCCAGCCCTGTTGGCAGATCCTCTGGTGTTGACCAACCAGGTGGCCTTTGGTAAGTGTGTATCCCAATGCTTGAAAGTTCCCCCACCCATTGCTCTCAGTGTAGTTTTTAACAGCCCATTGTACCTTTCGATTTTCCCAGAGGCTGGTGCATGGTAGGGGATGTGATATACCCACTCAATGCCATGCTCTTTGGCCCAAGTGTCTATAAGGTTATTCCAGAAATGAGTCCCATTGTCTGACTCAATTCTCTCTGGGGTGCCGTGTCGCCACAAAATGTGTTTCTCAAGGCCCAGGATAGTGTTCCGGGCAGTGGCGTGGGGCACAGCGTACGTTTCCAGTCATCCGGTGGTTGCTTCCACCATGGTAAGCACATGGCGCTTACCTTGGCGGGTTGGTGGCAGTGTGATATAGTCAATCTGCCAGGCCTGCCCATATTTATACTTCAGCCATCGTCCTCCATACCAAAGAGCTTTTAACTATTTGGCTTGTTTAATGGCAGCACGTTTCACACTCATGAATAACCTGGGCAATAGTGTCCATTGTTAAGTCCACCCCTCGATCACGGGCCCATCTATATGTTGCATCTCTGCCCTGATGGCATGAAGTGTCATGGGCCCACCGGGCCAAAAATAATTCACTTTTATGTTGCCAATCTAAGTCCATCTGAGCCACTTCAATCTTAGCAGCTTTATCCACTTGTTGGTTGTTCTGGTGTTCCTCAGTGGCCCGACTCTTGGGTACATGGGCATCTACATGACGTACCTTCACCACCAGGTTCTGCACCCGGGCAGCAATATCTTTCCACAGTGCAGCAGCCCAGATAGGTTTACCTCTACGTTGCCAGTTGCTCTGCTTCCACTGCTGCAACCACCCCCACAGGGCACTTGCCACCATCTATGAGTCAGTATAGAGATAAAGTACTGGCCACTTTTCTCGTTCAGCAATGTCCAGGGCCAGCTGGATGGCTTTCACCTCAGCAAACTGACTCAATTCACCCTCTCCTTCAGCAGTTTCTGCAACTTGTCGTTGAGGATTCCATACAGCTGCCTTCCATCTCCAATGTTTTCCCACAATACGGCAGGACCCATCAGTAAACAAGGCATACTGCTTTTCACTTTCTGACAGCTGATTATATGGTGGGGCCTCTTCAGCACGCGTCACCTCCTCCTCTGGTGACATTCCGAAATCTTTGCCCTCTGGCCAGTCCATGATGACTTCTAGAATGCCTGGACAACTGGGATTTCCTATTCGAGCTTGTTGTGTAATTAGTGCAGCCCATTTACTCCATGTAGCATTGGTTGCATGATGCATAGAGGAGACCCTGCCTTTGAACATCCAGCCCAGCACGGGCAACCGGGGTGCCAGGAGGAGCTGTGCTTCGGTGCCAATCACTTCCAAAGCAGCTCGAACCCCTTCATAGGCTGCCAGTATCTCTTTCTCAGTTGGGGTATAGCTTGCCTTGGATTCTTTGTATCCCCGACTCCAAAAACCAAGGGGTTGACCTCGAGTCTCTCCTGAAGCTTTCTGCCAGAGGCTCCAGGTAGGGCCATTCTCCCCAGCTGCGGTGTACAATACATTTTTTACATCTGGCCCAGTCTGAACTGGTCCAAGGGCCACTGCATGAACTATCTCGCGTTTAATTTGCTCAAAGGCTTGTTGTTGCTCAGGTCCCCATTTAAAATCATTCTTCTTACGGGTCACATAATAGAGAGGGCTTACAATCAAACTGTAATTTGGGATGTGCAGTCTCCAGAACCCCACTGCACCCAAGAAAGCTTGTGTTTCTTTCTTATTAGTTGGTGGAGACATTGCTGTTATCTTGTTGATTACATCTGTGGGGATCTGTCTACATCCATCTTGCCATTTTATTCCCAGAAATTGAATCTCCTTTGCAGGTCCCTTGACCTTCGTTTTATGACAAAACCGGCTTTCAGCAGAATTTGGATTATTTTCCTCCCTTTCTCAAAGACTTCTTATGCTGTATCACCCCACATTGGGCGCCAAAAAGAACTGTCGTGGTTTAAACCCTGCCAGACAGTTTGTGCACTTACTCCCAGTGAATGGTGCCAGGCTGGAAGCAATCGAGGCCCACGTTAGTGTCCCCCCCCCTTACCCAGGGACTGCCCCCCCTTCCCTACTTCCAAAAAAATGGGGAGAAAAATCGAAAAAATGCAACTCCCACGGGCTGAGATAAGAACAGTCTAACAACTAATGTACAATACAAATCACCACCGCTACCACCAACGACAACAATAATAAAAGAAAATAGCAAGGAAAAAAAGTACAATACCATGCACCAAACAACGAATCCGACCTGGCCAACCCCCTATCCTCCCAGAAACTCCCAGTTCCCCCCTCGGCATGACGTGCTGTAATATGAAATACCTCTTTGATCAGTTTGAGTCAGGTATCCTGCCTCTGCTTCCTCCCGGCTTCCCCTCCTCCCTGGCAGAGCATGAGGCTCACAAAGTCCTTGGCCAAACCAAAACATCATTTTTATCAGCTTTGTTCCCAACTCGAAAGTCAAAACACAGCACTGCACCAGCTAACAAAAAGGAGAAAAAATAACTACTACTGCTAAACCCAGGACATCAGCGCAAAATGATACAAGCGCAGGTATTTTAGGAAAACACCAAAGAAATTGCTTTAAAATTAGCAAGTACTTGGCAAGTGTTTTCTAACACTTTTTGGAAGTAAATGATATTTTTTTTCAGATTATTTTCTGGTAACACATTTCACAAACAGAGACCTTCCACACAACACAGCCAGTGCCATCAAGTTTTGTTTTAAGTTTTCCAGAAAAAGGGAAGACAATAGCTAACTTGGTCCCTAGATTACCTGGAGCTTCACACTTACTCAAGATCACTGCAAAGCATGTTCCTTATTGAGGAACAATTCCCCAGACAGATTATTTAAAGAGAATTTCCAAGTTCGTTCCAGAATACACGTTAATAATTTAACCTAGATATGGTACAACAGGTCTATAAGCAACTACAGGAGAACAAAAAATATAAGAATCTAAGAAGTCACATTTATTCTGCTGGTAACAGTCAGTAGACACTGTTTCCACAACTTGTCTACATGTGCAAAATGCTTCATATATATTTTTTAAGTTTTCAAGGGAAAAAAAGTAAAAGTATACATCCACTTCTAATTAACATTGTGTCCTGGGTTCAGCAGTAGCAGTCATTTCTCTCCTTGGTA